TGGGGGGACTTGCCGGCTTCCGCAGGGCACTGGAGGGGGTCAGCAATAGTGGCGTTTTCCATACGGATCCCAATTCGTCAGTCACGACTGACGTAACGTCGAACGTGACTGACTGAAAGGGAACGTCTAGGTTACTTGTGTAACCCTCGTTCCCTGAAGGAGGGAACGGAGACGTTACGTTCCGTCGCCACAGTTGCTGTACCACCGCTGTACGGCCGGGGCGCGTAGTCTCGGCTCCTCAGCGAAAAACTGATGTGCGTTTGCACGCGCTCTCCTTTTATACCCGCGCTGCGGGGCAGGGTGCGCGTGGCGAAACACGCACGCCAACTGTCATTGGCTTGTTTAGTTAACACTCGAAGGTGATTGGGCGCTCGGGCGAGATCCCAGTTCGTCAGTCACGACTGACGTAACGTCTCCGTTCCCTCCTTCAGGGAACGAGGGTTACACAAGTAACCTAGACGTTTTCTCAGTAGACATTTCCATTTAGAGAACATTTTGCTGTATTGTGTTCCCCTTAATTTATTGGTCTTAAAAAGGTCTTTAAACATCTTAAATTTAATTTTATAAAACTTGGAGAAACCCTGTTATATGATGTAAATACAATGTGTTTTATCACCACATGAAAACATCTGATTTAGATTTTGTTTCTCGGTACAGTGAACTTTTAGCTCAACAGATGGAGGAGCATTTGATCATTTCGCGCACCTAACAGAGGAGAAGCAGCGCCGTCGATGATCACGCTCTCAGAGCTGATGTCTCCAAAGATGAAGTGTATCTTCTGGTGTGCGTGTTGAGTGTTGGAGGATCCGTGGACGGCGTTCTCCAGCATGTCTTTAGCGAAGCGCGCTCTCAGAGACTCCGGGGCCGTTTGTCTCGCCTCGCTGGGGTCCGTCGGGCCCATGGCCGCCCTCCACTCGTCCACCGCGTTCTCCTTCGTCAGAACCATCATCGTACACGGGCCGCTGCAGAAAAATTAAACACGTTTTATCTTACCTATGTCCTGCGTGAAATCTTCCAGTTGAGTTTCAGCCAAACTCACCGACACATGTAATCCACCAGCTGACTGAAGAACGGTTTGTCTCTGTGCTCTTTATAAAACTCTTCCGCCATCTCTCTGGACAGAACCGTGTCCTTCATATGGGAGATGGTGAATGCTCTGGCCCGAATCTCCTCCAGGATTTCCTCTGATATGAGCAGAAGCAGACAAAATAAACAGCGAGTTCCTCATTTCATTAATATTCTTACTTTTTAATTTTTATATACACCAATATTTCAGTAAGATTTTAATAAAGTAAGAAATGATCACATTTATTCATCAAGGATGCATTAAATTAAAGTGACAGTAAAGACATTTGTAATGTTGCAAAATATTTCTATTTAGAACTTTCTATGCATTAAAGAATCCTGAAATGCATCAGTTTCCCAAAAAATATGAAGCGGCACAACCGTTTTCAACATTGATAATAATCATAAATGTTATGCAGAGCAGCAAATCAGCATATTAGAATGATTTCTGAAGATCATGTGACACTGAAAACTGGAGTAATGATGCTGAAAATTCAGCTTTGATCACAGAAATAAATTACAGTTTACTGTATATTCACATAAAAAAAAAAAAAAAAAGTTATTTTGAATTGGAATAATATTAATCTATTGATCAGATAAATGCAGCCTTGGTGAGAAGAAGAGACTTCTTTCAAAAACAGTCAAAGTCTTACCGACCGCAAACTGTTTGAACTTTTAGTTTGCGCTATATTTCAGCAGTATTTCTCTCTTTTCATGTCGATAGTGTTTGAGAAGCATTGCTGTACTGACACTTCTAAATCATTCGGATTCGGTTTTCTTCAAAAGCTCTAGCTGCAACTATTAATTATGTTTTGTACAATAAATCCATTCTGACTTCATTCAGACTGATTTGTACATTAAAGGGGTCATATGATGCGATTTCAAGATTAAAGCATGTCAACATATTCTGTTACACCAAATACACAAATTAATGATCTTTAAAAAAGCATCATATGACCCCTTTAATGTTAAGTGTATCTGTTAACTGTTTTTGTAAACATTCTACTTTTCAAAAAGTTAAGGAAAAAACATTAAAATCTCCCATTGGCATCGTTTCAACTTTCAAAATGTAACTGGCATCATATTTGCCTACAAAATTTGCCGCCTTTCTTATATTTTTCATTTCTGTGTGTTTCTGATACGGTATTTCATTTACAACGAACCAAAAGCTCAAACTTAAACTAAAGCTCCCCTCTTGTCAGCACTGCTGTGATCTAGCTGCATTTAAAGCACGAGTGTGAACCGTGCAGCTCAAACACGGAGCTAATATCCCTCTCCACTCTTTGCACTGTGTTCAGAGTGACTGCTGAAACGATACCCTTGTGTTCAGTGTCAGGTTTAATGACGGCCAGCGTGTCCTCCGGTGGGAAGAAGAAGCCGATCTCCCTCTCCGCCTCCTCTGAGCTTCCGCTGCCGTGAAGCTGATTAATGCTGGAGCTGCCAGAGACAAACTGGGCTCGCAGACTAGATCAGAACCACATATACAAACGCACTGACCATTTAAACACATATATGATACATAAACATGATATGATGATATACAACAACACATTGAGTTGAGCAAAGCTATTAGTTGATCAAAGTATTATAAATATCATTTACCTGTTGGGTTGCTCAGTCTTAGCCTGGATGGGGTCTTTGGGTCCCAGGATGTTTCTCCAGTGTTCTACGGCTCGCTCCTTCACTAGCGCTAGTGCTAACACAGGCCCGCTGTGAACGACAGCAGACATTCGCTGTGAGTCTTCTGGCTTCTTTACCTCATTTACACAGCATTTATATGCAATTAGCAGCTATGTATCCAAGATTACAATTACGCTTCAATTGAAGATATAAATCACTTGTTTTTTTTGTTTTTTTTTTACTGTCCTCTACAGATTCGATAAGACAGCATTCATTATTCAGAATGAATGGTATACTTTATATCTAATAATTTTGATATAAATTTATAAATTATTTCATTATCACTGATATACTATTGTAGTTTTTGTTAATGTTTTGAATTAGATTATACTGTATATTTATCTTTTGTTTTCACTGTAATTTTAAAGTTGTAATAATTTTGTTGTGTTTTTGTAATTTTTAGTGATTTTAAGAAAAAATATGTCTTTATAGTATTTATACATTTTTATGTATTAGCTTTAGTTTATTTAGTTTTAGTTCAAACAAGTGAGAAATCTTGCATTCTACATTTATTTTAAGTAACAAAAACATATATATATATATATATATATATATATACATGTATGTGTGTGTGTGTATATATATAGATATATTAATTTTTTTGACATTTTTACAAATATTATAATATTTATTTTAAGTAATGAAAATGTTTTGAAATTATACTTTTTTTTATTACAAATTTTAGTTAACGATAATAACTATGTTTTGACATCCAACTGTTCAAAAATGCCGTTGTGTGCTGTTTTGCGAAACTGGCCTTAATAACTATAAATCTCAAGCTGAAGCTTTTCAAATGTATTTAATTTCCATATTTAATTATTTTAAAGGTATAGTTCACCCAAAAATGAAAATTCTGTTTACTCACCCATAAGTTGTTACAAAGAAAAAAAACAAGATATTTTGAAGAATGTTGATAAACAAACAGTTTCTGGTAGCCACTGACATCCATAGTACTTTTTCCCATAGAATGCAAGTCAATGGGTACCAGCAACTGTTAGGTTACCCACAGTTCCTGGTAGCCATTCAGCAGAATACAGAAATTCATGCAGGTTTGGAACAACATGATGGAGAGTAAATGATGACAAAATTTTCATTTTTGGGGTGCAGGGAGCCATGTAACAGAACACTGATACTGCTAATTCTGTATTCTGTTTGGATGAGTCTGAAGGGTTCTGATTGGTTCTGAAACTACTAGAAAATGACATTGCTTGGCAATAATTCAAATGATTATTAATAAAGCATGCTTGTACTGTATATGTTGAAAACTGGTGTCTGACTCTGTTATCATATCACTGATGCTGCTGTTTTAATAAACCGCTTGACTCGCACAGCCTCTTGTGGCTTACTGCTTTTCCACAGCATCAGATGTGTGATGTGTGCGATCGCTCACCTGGTCATGCTCTCCAGCAGGCTGGGGAAATATTCCTGCTCCAGATGATCGCTGTAGAACTGCCTGACCTGATCCTCAGACAGCATGAGCTCTCTCTGCATGGCCACTGTGAATCCTGCTTCATGGATCCGGCCCAGAATCTCCTCTACAAACACATCTACACTTTACTTCCTGACCGTAAGCGCTCCGATTGAATTGCTCTGCACTAGCAGTCAAAAGTTTGGACACATCTGCTCATTCTTTATTAGGACAGTTTTACACATTGTGGAATAACAGTAAAGTCATCGAAACTACAAAATAATGTAAATGGAGCAGTGTTGTTATTGTTAACTAAAACTAAAACTTGTTTCAGTTAATTAAAAAAAAAGCTGAAATTAAATTTAAAAGTGAAATTAAATATAAATATTAGATAAAAAGTTTTAGATGGAAAAATTACAAATGTTGCCTTGGCAACTAACTGAAATAAAATAAGTTTAAGTTCTAAAATAAAAATAAAGCTAAATAAAATTATAAATAAAATAAAGCAAACGCACATAACAAAATTACTAACATTTAAGCTAAAATTAAAATGAAAACAAAATAAACAAAAGCTTAGAATATTATTTGCATATAAGATATTTAAAATATTAATAAATATTTTATGATATTTTATTAATGCAAATTAAAATAGCATATAAATAATGCTAGAATAATGCTGAAATGGAAATAAAGTCAAATAGGAAAAAAAGAAAGAAAGAAAAAAACGAATAAAAATGGCAAAAGCACATAACAAAATGACTAAAACCTAAACTAAAATTAAAATAAAAACTGAAAAAAAAAAGAAGCTTAAAACATTGCTGAAATGGAAATAAAGCCAAATAGGAATATTTAAAAAATAAATAAATAAAATGGTAAAACACATTACAAAATTACTAAACCCTAAAATAAAATGAAAACTGAAAATAAAAACATATTTATATAAAGTATTATATTTAAAATCAATAAATATTTTTATGAATTAATTCAAATTATAATACTATAATATAGTAATACTATTATAATAACGCTGAAATGTTGTCGTGACCAATAAATGTCAGTCATATGTTGGTTGACTCAAAGTGTTACATTGTGGCTTTAGATCAAACGTTCATGAGAAATAAATTGAGTCAAGTGTGTCCAAACTTGTAACTGGTACTTCAGTTTAAAGCTCTCATTGAATGCAGGAGAATCTGTCTGCGCCCACGGGGCCGCAGTTCTGCGCGTGTAAACGTAATGTTGGCACATGCCTCTGTTTTCCCTGGCAGCGTCTGGACGGATGAGCGCCAGCGTCCTCTCCACATGCTCCTGTTCCGGCCCGGCCCGCTCCGAGCCCGAGTCCGCCATCGCCATCCTGAAGCTGGGGAAGAAGAACGCCAGCTCCCTGCTGGCCTGCTCGCTGTCGCTGCTGCCGTGTAGAGCGTTCAAAAGAGTCTCGGTGCCGTACTGAGCCCGCAAGCTGAAGAACAGAGAGCGGCCAGAGAGGAGAGCAGGGAAGGAAGGATAGATGGATGGATGGAAGGGTGGAGAAGCAGAGAAAGAGAAGAGCAGATGGTCTCACTGCTGGTTCTCGGCCAGGGCAGAGGGAGGCAGGCAGGAGTTCACACAGGATGTGTTGTGCTATAACTGTTAGTGCTCAAATCTGTGAGCGCAATATGGAACGTCAACGCAACGCAACGCCCTCATATCACTTTTAGATTATATTTAATTACAAAATGACATTATACACACATCAGGGAATTGCTGAGCCTCTGTATTAGGCCTATGAAGAGAGACCATGACATTATATATGTCTGACACAACAAAATCAGGGTGTTTCGATAATAATTTTAAATAATAATTTACTTAAAAAAAAACAGCAATATATATACTGTATATATGATAAAAAATGACAATTTTAGTATTATTTATATATTACTATAGTATGCACTGTTTATTTTACATTTACAGTTATTTTTAATTAAGTTTTTCATTTTCAATTATATATATATATATATATAACATATATATATATATTTTTTTATTTATATCATAAAAAACTAAATTTTATTTTAGTATTATTTATATACTATTATAGTACACACTATTTATTAATATTTTAAATTAGCTTGTATTTTCAGTTTTATTTTAATTTTAGTTTGTTTTTGTAATTTTGTTACATGCTTTTGTCAGTTTTATTAGTATTTGGGGTTTTTACATTTCTGTAGGAGAGGGGGTAACCATGACAAAAAAACTATTACAAAGAGAGGCTTTTTGGATTTTTGAGCTGAAATCGTTAACCCCTACAGGACTGAATGAAGAGATGGATCTTGCATGTTTTTTGTAATAATATATATTTTTTTGTAATCATTGATTTCAGCATGAGCATTGAAGAAAGCATGAGCTGAAACGTCTGCTCTTTGGTCTGTTTTTAAGACACTTTTCACTTTTTTGCACTTTTGTCACCCTGTAGTAGTAATACTACTACTACTACTATAGATGTTAAATTAAAGTAATTATTGTGATAGACCCTTGCCTTGGTCTAACTGTATGTCTTTCAGTGTGCGGGCAGTGTCTCGTTCCCTACTCAGGGAACCATGGTTACATAAGTAACCTGAGACGTTTTTTTGGTTGATCAAATTTTTCTTGATTTACGCACCTGAGAACAGACTGGTTATCTTTTTGGAGCGCATGCAATATCTTTTTTGATAAATGAAATGATATAAAATTAAATAATTATATTTATTAAATGGTTTAAAAGATCCCTGACAATAAGTGATAATTATTTCTAATATATAATTTTTTTTAATATATATCAATTTATTATTAATTAATCAATCAATCAATTTTTTAAAAATTAAGATGAAACAGGATTTGAGATGGAATGATGGCCAATTAATTTTGTAATATAATAATTATTTTTTATATTATATTATTTTTATTTAATTCAATGTGTATTTTATATACATATATAAATTTGATTATATAATATGAATGCATTATTTAGCAAGCAGTAGTTTCGGTGATGTAGATTACACCTCATACTGGACTACTTTTCCATCGTTCCATCCCAAATCTTTTTTCATCCAGATTCAGGCGTCCTCTGTCGTCCACACAGTAATGATAACGTCAGGAGTGTGGAGTAACTCACCGCCCTGCGTGCCGCCCCGTGTGCTAGGACGTTCTTCTCTTTGCTCAGCTCTTCCTGTATCACCCTCTGCAGGAGAGGAGTGTTTGGCCCCCGCAGAACAGACACCAGCTCCCCACCCTACAGCATGACGTCCCGCAGGACAACACCAAACAGATGAGGTGTGAACAGGAACACAGGAACATGTCACTTTGCACAACATCAGATATTTCAAAATGAAGCCTGTTTTCCATTGAAGCTTATTTCCACCACAGAATATTTATCTCAGAATCCTGACTTTTTTTACTCACAGTTTACATCTCGCAATTCAGTTTTTTTTTTCACCATGGAATAAAAAACTAAAAAAGGTATTTGTGATATTTTATCTCACTATTCAAATTTTTTCTTAAAATTGCAAGTTTATATTCTTATAAACTTGCAAGTTAAAATTGCAAGTTTGCACAATTCTTACAGAATTGTGAGATAAAAAGTCGTAATGACCTTTTTACTTTTTTTTTTTTTCCTTGGCTCAAATAAGCTTCCATAGTTTTAGGATCATTCATGCATTCATTCATGCATTCATGCATGTTTTGTTTTTGCATTAATTCCATCACAATTAACCACAATTTTTCCCCCAAATGCCAAATATTGCAATGCATCTGGATGTTTTGCTTTTAAATTTGTTTTTAAATAATTAAATTATTTTAACTCTCATTAGATTCTCATTCCTCTAAAACAGCATTTTAATTATACCAGTATAAATTAATAGCAGTGCAACTGAAACCTGCATGATTTACAGATCCTTTACAATTTAAGTAATATATATTATTAGTTTTATCTCATCACAGTATTTGGGTAGTTTTGGGTATTTGGGTACCGTTTGCTTAATTGTATATAGCCTAATTGTGTATTGTGCTAAACAATCTGAAAGGTCCTAAAATAGGGTTCTTTGTCTATAAGCAAAATATGTTTTCTTCTTTTGTTCATTTATTTTGGAGTAAATTTCACAAATTTCCTGAACAGGTTTTGTGACATCCGCCCATGTAATTATTATTTGAATATGTAATTTATATTCATTTTTAAGAACAGTAAGAATTTGCAAGGATTGGGAAACACGCAGAGAGATGTACAATTTCAGACCCACCGCATAAAATAGAAAGGTGGGCTCACACTTCCCTCTGTACTTCTCCAGAGCTTCAATCCCATCAGCCTCAGCCTGCAGGAAGGATAAGACGGCGTGACAGAAATCTCGACATTTAGAATGATTGTTTGTGTGCAATCTAATCTCCAGAGAGGCTTATTTTACTGTGGCAAAATGCAGCAGCTCGTCTCCCAGCTCATTCTTGATTTTTCTGAACAGACTGACGACAGCGCGGCAGGGTCCACACCACTTCTGGTACACGTCGACCACTGACACACACACACACACACACACACACACACACAGACACACACACACACACACAACAATCACTACAGCAAAACTCAGACTGCATCTACAGACCTCTGCAGCTCTGCTTGACAAATAAGAAATCAGACAGACAGACCAGCAGAGAGTAATGAAGTATTTGAACATCTATGCTGCACAATAAATGTATGAGTTTCATTGTGTACGAAGCAGAATCTCAGTGTGATCAAACACTGCTGATCTGTTCTCTTCACTCTTCTTCACTGTTTTTGTCAAAAGTTTTGATTGTGTGCTTGTGCATCTTTTTTAATACATTATATAAATGCTTTTTGTTTTGTAATTCATAAACAGATAGACATAGATAGATAGATAGATAGATAGATAGATAGATAGATAGACGTTAGACAGATATAGACAGAGATGATTTGATAGACAGAGAGATAGATAAATAGAAAGACATACAGACGGATAGATAGATAGACGGATAGATAGATATAGACAGATAGATAGATAGATAGATAGATAGATAGATAGATAGATAGACAGAAAGATAGATAGATGAGTCACTCACCTATTAACCCTTTCGTTGCCAAAATGTCACTCCATTGATCGTCAGTATTGATATTTATCTGCAGGAAAAAGTTTTCAAGCGTTTTTAGGGATTTTACAGCTGACACACAAAATAAACAAACTAGAAAACTGCAGTCAGACCCACTTTTCCATCATTTACAGTTTAATGCTGACTACAGTCACAGATACTGATTCAACTAACGTTACAAACCTGTAAACTGATCTCCTTCTTTTTACCAGCCATGGGAATGCCTTTTTAAGAATAAAAAATAACGACACGTTTAGCTAATTACTCCAGTTAATGGTAATGCTGTGATCGCTAATTCGTTATTTATTTTTCCTAAAAGTTTCAGCGCATGCGCAGCACGGATTGTTTTGCGTCCTCGTCGCTCAGCAACCGTTTATTAAGCGTTTCACTGCCGGCATCTGCTGGACGCTGCGGGTATTGCAGGTTGTTATTCTCACTGTTAAGTGACAAGTACACGTTTGTGTCACTATAAATATGTTCTCTGATGGTAAAGCCATGGTACTGAATGCATATGTGTTTATATTTATGTTATGTATTCCATGGTACTTCATGATACATGTCTAGAGTTTGTGATGTTAGAGGTGCATCGTTTCTCAAAGGCCTGCATTCCTCCATCATAAAGCTGCTCCAGGGAACAGATTCAACTTCAATAACAGCAAACGCTGCAGATTCCAGACATATTAAACAACAGATATGTCTCATATTATATTTGGCAGGAAATACCTCATCATCTGGTTAGAATATGTAAAGAAAAGGAGAGACGTTGAACACACAATACCAGGTCCAAGTCACATTTCAGCCATAAATAAATGAAAAACATTATATTTTATATTATATTATATTATATTTGCATAAAGAAAATTCATTTTTAATCAATTTATTTTAAATCCTGTTTATTTTTATTTTTAGAAATTATTTGCATGACATTTAACTACATTAAGTACATTCCCCCCAAATTAGATAGTTTCTTCTATTGTTTCTTAAATATTTAGGCCTTAATGTAACATTTATGAATTTGAATGACATATAAAACGTTCATCCATCTGGAATACACAGTTTAAACATAAACTAATAAACGTTACTGACAAATATGTGATGCATATTTGTCAGTGATGAAACGGGTCAGATTTCTGCACTCAAAAAAAAAGTTTATTATTAACTATTAACATACACTGTAAAAAAAAAAAAAAAGTGGTTGCCTTTACTGTAAAAAATACGGTAGCAGTATTTTAGCTTTTACAGATTTACTTAAATTCACAGTAAAAAACCTATTTCAATAATTGATATAATGTTAATATAACAACCAACTGAATTATTAATTATTAATAAAATTAATATCTCGTTTGTACCATTGTAATGACAACCGCCAAAAACAGGTGGTAAAGGTCACATGATGAATCAAAGTTTATCACAAACAGCTTTTCCACAAGTTGAGGAGAGAAATACATATATTTATAGACAGTGCACAGTGTCATTCACACAAATACTGAACACCATCATGGTAAAATTTACATTTGAAATTAAATAAAAAAAAATTTTTCAATTTTCATGATACTCAACTAATGCAAGAAACGTTCATTTAACAACATTAGATGTGAAAAAACCTAATATACACAACTAATGAGAGAAAACTAAGAAGAAACATAGGTATTTAAAAAAAAAAAGAAAGTGAAGTGCCATGCAGGGAATTCTGGGAATGTCAATTTACGTTTTTTCACTGTGAATTATACAATGGCTTTTTCTTTTTCACTTCCAAAAACCACAGTTTTAACAGCCAATTAGCAGCTTTTTACTGTAGCATTTTTACAGTTTTTTTTTTTTACTGTTAAAATCATGATAATTTTTTACAGTGTAGTTTATGATTTTTATCATTTTCAAAATCCATTTATTCAAATTGCTTAGAATCAGCATAAATAAATGAACATTACTTGGACACATTCGCTTCTGATAACAGATCTAAATTGTAATGTAGACACACGTGCATTTTCTGTAAAGCTGCTTTGAAATTAAATGAAACCAGAATAACAGCAAAATCCAGTATGCTTATAAATGCACATTCACATTTAGTCTAGAACTACAGCGCACACAACGCCTCTGTACTCCCGATTTCTCCCAATATGGTGACAGGAGAGCTGTCAGTCAATAAATGGGAAAACAAATACTTTTTTGAAAAAGTAACTCAGATATTTTCTTGTAAATTAAAAAAGTAATGCGTTACTTTACTAGTTACTTGAAAAAAGTAATCTGATTACGTAACTCGCATTACTTGTAATGAGTTACCCCCAACACTGTATGCAGCAGATAGTGATTTTAAAGTAGAAGGCCACAAGAGGCTGTAGTGATTTTACCATGGCTGTCTCTCTTAAAACTTCCTGAACGGATGTACATAAATCTGTTTTATAAAGCAAAATATGCTGCACCTCCTCTGATCAACACAGTTTATAATTAAGCTGATTGTGCTTGTTTGTTGAGTTTATCTCTGAGCACTTCATGCTGAAACTCGTCGCCACTGCCCTGAGGAAATAACACTTTTTCCCATCCTTACAGGAGCTTCTTCAACAGGCACATGTTTGATTACTTGAAGTGTTCATCTGTGTCAAAACATGGATCACATGGAATAAAGATCTGATTGCTGATCTGACGACCTTGATGTTCTGTTGGGCTTATCACCTAAATAAATATCTTCAAAAGTTGCCGCAACTTCATGCTAATACATATACAACTAGATAATCTACTTATACTTCTTTGAGAAAGAAAAGTACTTATGGTCGTTCCGCTTTTGGATTTGCTGCCCCAAATGATCAGAACATGCTACAAAAGCATTTGAAACTATAGAGACAAACATTTCAGTCTGTGCATTAAAAAAATTATTACACAAAATGCTTTAACTGAGGTGTTTTTTTTTCTCTCTCTCTCTCTCTCGTGTGTTTTGTACACGTATTGTAATGTATGTTTGTATGTCCTTCAGGAGACATTAACTCTCCTGCCAGGCTGTTATTGTAAATAAGAACCTGTTCTTAATGACTTGCCTGGTTAAATAAAGGTTAAAGGAAATGATGTTTGGATACAGCTCTGACAGCCCAAAATATTTTCCTCATTTTAACAAATGTTTAATATTTAATGCACTCTGAACTACAGGCAAATTGTATTTTCATGCACTGCATCATGGTCAATTTTGAGATTTGGATCTGTTTCGCTTCCATAACATATCTTCTTTCAGACTACAGTGGGAAGAAAACATCCGAAATACACTTTTAAGTGTTTATTTTTATTGCACTTTATATGTTTGAGTCTAAGGCCGTTTCTCAAAATGATTTTTTTTCTCCACTTCAGCAGGACTTACACCAAACTTTACAGTTTTATTCATATCAATATTCTGAAGGTGTTTACAGAGGAGTTTGTTGATATATCACTCGCCTGGTTTATATAACATTTTATTCCTATAAACAGCTATTTTTTGACAGTATTTTCTCATTTATGAAGTGATAAAATATAATATGATGTATAATAATAATTAATTATATTTAATATGTCAACAAAATCAAACAAGAATTCTGAACCTGGCTTTAAGCGATCTTTAGATTTCTGTTCAGGGATTTTATGTAAATTTGTGCATGTTTAATTAGATAATGCATTATTCACATGTGCAAAACGTAATATTTCAGAAAACGTGTAAAACAAAATAATTGTCTCACTATTTAACTGGGGAAATATGGTGATACCCTATATCAGTTAACACTGATGTCTTGCCTTAAAGGAGACATATTATGCCCATTTTTACAATATGTAATATAAGTCTCAGGTGTCCCCAGAATGTGTCTGTGAAGTTTCAGCTCAAAATACTCCACAGATCATTTATTATAGGTTAATCTTTTTCACGTTTCCTTGGTTGGTAGATGCACCAGGGACCTGATTATAGCACTTAAAACCTGGAACAGTCAGATTTTCATGATATGTCACCTTTAAAGTGGGGAAAAATCTAATTAAAGAAATTCAACAAAGCCTTTTTTCGTCAAAATCATACTAGGGCACATAAATATCTGCTATTTAGAGTATGACTTTGGTGCCCATTTGACAACAAATCTAAGAAAATATACAAAAAAACGTCCACATGTGAGCTGATCTAGTTTTAAAGGGGTCATATGATGCGATTTCAATTTTTCCTTTCTCTTTGGAGTGTTACAAGCTCTTGCTGCATAAAGATGTTCACGCAAAGAAAGAAGGCGTAACTTTGATTCTCGCTGTAGTATTGTTGCCGCCGCAGCCATGTCGTGAAGACGCTGTGTGTTTCGTTGTGAAAGCGAAACTACTTTGTTTGGCCGTCCAAAAGAGAACGATATCCGCTTCGTCATGCCTGGAGCTGATCTGTGGTTGCTGAGGATATACTACAACTTCGTGCTGTGGATCACCGGATCGGCTTTCACTGAGTCCAGCCCGGGGTCGTCACATGTGGTTGCCGCAAGCCCGCCGGACGCTCCTTCATCGAATCCGCCGCCTCGTAACATTTCCGTCACACGCTTGAGGTATTCGGCCAATCACAACGCACTGGATAGCTGGCCAATCAGAGCACACCTCGCTTTTTCAGACCGATGAGCTTTGTAAAAATCAACACGTTTCAAAAAGGCGGGGCATAGAGGAGAAACAATAATGTACAGTATGTGGAAAATAATGTGTTTTTTGAACCTTAAACCGCATAAACATATTTCATTACACCAAATACACAACATAATGTTCTTTTTAGCAGCATCATATGACCCCTTTAAGGTCCTTTTACTTTAGAAAGTCACATCGAGTCTGTGTGGATGCATGCAGGCAGCAGTGCGTGCTCCGTGACGTCAGTGAGGTTTAGCGACTATAAAAGCACGCGAGTGGGCGGACTCACTCACTGACTCAGAGGCAAGCTGTTTGTGTCGCTGTTTTTGTGAGAAAAAGTAACAATGGTGCAACTTTCTAAAAGCGGAGTGAGAGACACGCTGAAAGCTGGTCATCCTCCTGCAGGTTTGGACTTCCAGTTACATGCGAAACTTTTAAAGTCTTTTAGGAACGATTTGTTGTTTGGTTTGCGGGGTTTAAATCGTTTGAGATTTATTGTTGCAGTTCAGCTTTAGTAATTACGCATATTGCATTGCATGCTATTTCTTTCGTTTCTGTACGTGTGTATGGTAGTGTTTACAGTGAGAGGAAAACAAACATCCAGCCCTTGTTTTCTCATTAGGTGTCACAGGATGTGTTCAGAAGACTTTACTTTCAATTTCTGCTTCATACGATTAGTGCAAACCTTCCTTAGTGTGCCATCACCGCAACAAACTAGTCAGCTGCTTATCTAGACGGCGATCTAGTGCTCGTTGCAGTCAAACTGATCAGGGATTTTGCAAGTACGTTTTGCTTATTTAAGATTTAATGTAGTTGTTTTCAGTCATGATTAAAACATTACATATCTGTTCAAAGCCGTGTTATTTAAGTATCATTGATGTATGCAATTATAGTTTTACAAATTTGAGTAAGTTTTTATATTTCACTTTCATTTTAAACTGTTAACTTTGTGTGTGTGATGTGTTTGTCTTTTTTACTAAACATATATATATATACATATATATATACATATATATACA